GAAGACTTTGCCTGAAACTGCGCACCCTTACAACTAGGCTTACGACGGATACGCGGATGGGGAGGGGGAAAGACATCGTTAATAACGCGATAAAACAGATCCAGGTGGAAAAATTAGAGATTGCCACGACACCTTTAAAACACCCTTTATCGAACGAATCGTCAACATTAAGGACAGATATATAAAGTAGTAAACGTGGTTCTCTTTCTTCGCGTTTACCCTGATTTCTCGACGTATTTCGCGAGAAACGTAGAGCGTAAAGAACGTTGATCTTTTCTCAATAAGAAGAATCGAGAAGAATCGGTTCTGACGTAAGATCGTCGTGAAACGCGGATCACCGAATCAACATCTGTTCGCGAAACGAATATTAAATTGATAAGCGTTGGGTACGTGTGTTATCAACTCGCCTATTCGAAATGCCTATCGCGCTCTTCCCCGAGCTAAATTCCCTTGGCTGTCTAAAAGCACTTTTCCTTCGTATCCACAAGATACACTGCTTTTATCGGCATGGTAAGCAGTCTGGGAAATGCTACTGTTGCCAACGCTGACGCAGAGACATTTAAAAGGATGGGTGGAGAGAGAAGCAGCGACAAATTCGACCCGTGATACTCGTTTCGGTGTGTGTACGCATTCAATCCTTGACCATTAACGGCCGGTTCGATATCTTCGAATGATTCACCTTCCGTATCAGCCTTGGCATTGTATTTTAATGGGACTCAGATTTAGGATACACGTCCCTTCACAAATGTTTCCTCCCAACAATAATGGATTCAACTTTTATGGATCTGAGAATTCGTAATTACGATCCGATTAATATTTAATAATCTGTTAGAAAGAATAATTCAAGGGAATAGAAATTTCAGGGATGATACGGGGAATAATCTTGTTCCAATTGGGAAATATACATATATATATATATGATTTATTCTTTTAATAAGTGAGTAAATAAAAAAGAGTTGCGTTAATTAAATGAGTTGTCATTATTAAGGGAAAATAAAATGTTTGACATTCGTAATTCCAGATGCTAATTAAGCACGTTTAGTTTCATATAGTGGATCGTGACACAACAATACGTTTCACGATACAACGGGTTTCATCGTTAACTAAACTATTGTAATTAATTTCGTGAAAAGCATTCCATGTATTTTATTACATCTGCATAATGATCTCGTAGACGAAATTTCCGCGTAAACGAGAACCACGCGCAACGCGGATTGCAACGAGAATATTTGGAGAAAAGAAGGAGGAATCGGGCGAGCGCAGCTACTACTACCGCGCTGCCTCGCAGCTTATTCGCTTAAATGAATATTAATTGCAATTCCTTGACACGATGGCAAGATTTACCATCTTTTACAATTTTCAATTCGTCTACAACGAGGTTTAATCTACCAATTATAACAAATTTTACGCGTGTCAGAATGATTAAAATCCCTTCATCTTGAAAAAGGATAAAAAAACACAAATGAAAGAGTTGACAAAATTTTACTATTCGAAATCTTCGAATGCGTTTCCCTCGCATTTTAATCAGAGGATCGATCGATAACTTATTCGTAACGCTCGAGACGTACACACCCTCGAAAGTCACGAGTTTCATCGAGAATCAACGCCGAGCGAAGAAGATTCATGCAACGATTGAGATGCAACGTAATGCCGGCGTTATACGCTTATAATACGCTAGCCGAAACGGGATTTTCGAAATAAATCTTGAAAACAAATAAAATCCCGATCCCGGGGGTCAATGCTCATAATTCCATGGAAACGCGGTTCGTATCGATCGAAGCCAGTTTCGATTGAACCTCGATGGTTTTGCGAAACGAACGCGTCAACACAGTCCACCAGCTCGCACACCCATGGTGCACCACCACGTGATCTCTAATGCGTAATATCGGTGTTCACGGTGAAACGAGCAAACGCCAATAAAACGAAACAAGCCAGACACGACAGCAAAGTGTGCCCCGTTGCTCGATAATTTCGTAATTCGACCGGGTTGCCGACCGCGGGATCCGATCGTGTCTGATCGTGTCGCGTCGCGGAAGGATGGAGCGAAAGGGGGAGAAAAAAAAAATTCAAAATTTGATCAATCCCCCCTCCCATTGTATCCGTCGCAGAAACCAAACGTGAAACGTTTGCTCGCGCAAATGCCGATGTCGTTCACGAGTTGAAGCCCCGATAAATTGAGAGTACAAAGCTTCGAAGTTTATTAGATCTATAATATTTTGCAGGAAATTGTTTCTGAACGTGAAGCTATTTTTCATCGGCGATCTATGTGTGATCTATGTATTATCCATAAGCTCCCCTCTCGGTTATCGTTATTATTGTTTTTTCAACGGATTCATCTCTCCACACGATGGCATAGGAAAACTGTGTTACCCGTTTCGTTACTCGTTTCATTCTCGAAATTTTCCCCGTCGGTGAAAGGAATTCGATTTCTCGATGAGGGGAGGGAAGGGAAGGGATAAAGAGAAAAATAAATAAGGGTTGGTCGCGAGGATCATCAATCTCGCGAAAAGTCAATCGTTGGATTGGGAAAGGAAAAAAAGAAGAAAAAAGTTACGGATCGCAGGTGCGTTCAGGTAAACGAAACCGAGAAAAGGGGCTTGCGAACTTTTATTGCAAGCATCTGTCGTGCGAGAGGGTGATAGTCGAAACTGACCCAAAAAGTTGGACGAAAACGTGGACTCGAGTGCCCTTCAGAAACCTATTCAACATCCTGAGAATATGCGCGGGGGTGGACCAGAAGAAGAAAAAAGAGAAAAAGAAGAAAAGGAAAGGGGGCAAACAAGATTCGTCGACAAATAAGAATAGTTATTACGCTTCTGAACGGGGGATGGAGGAAATTTTAGAGTGGAAGTTGGGAAACAAGAAAAGAACGGGAGGGAAAGAGAGAGAGAGAGAGAGTAATGCATTGCTCACGAAGAATAAATGCAAAGGATTGATGTGAAAAGAAACTGTCCACAAACATTTTTCAAGAATACATAGAAGCAACATCGTGGTCGGCCAACATTGGAAATAATAATACAGAAACACGCTAGAGAATGACGTAAATGTAGCTATTTCTTTTTATGAAAATAACTGCGACATCATTTACCGTTTACGTCTTCTTAAAAGCATCGTCGTTGGATGGAAAATGGACAGAAAGATGAGATGAAGGAGAACAAAATCGCGTGAACGTGTTCATGAAATTAGAAATTTCACGCATATTAATAGCGTGGAAAGAAACTTTTTTTCTTTTTTTTTTTTTACTAATACAATGCGACACAAAATTGATTAAACTTTAATTGACGTTATTTTAACAAACAAATCTAATTTGAAAACTTAATCGGATACTATTCTGATAAAGATAAAAAAAAATAAACAAAAGAACAAAGATAGAACTAACAACCGAGGAAAACCGAGGAATTGATAAAAATTGTATACATTGAGTTTATTCAATTTTTATAAAGAATCGACAAGAAGAGAACAACAGAAAAGAGCGAGCAACCAATGCTTTTCCACCGTATAAATTAAAAATATTATGCGGAACAACAACATCGATATTGAAATTATACGAACTCGCAATAAAAGCTCTACAGAGACGGAGTCGGGTATCCCGGGAATAATTATAATATTATCCGTCTCCGTTTAATCCAACTGTCCGCCGAGGAAATGAACAAGGACAAGCGCACCGAGGGAACATTAGTCGTCTACACAGCGGAACCAGACGAGAAAGGCCAAAATGAAGGCGAAGCAAAGATAGAAAGGGAGTTCTCCTTAATATAAAAAAAAAAAAAAAAAAAAAAAAAAAANGGAAGGAAGGAGAAGAGAGAGAGAGGGGGAAAAAAAGGGAAATAGAAGAGGAAAACAAGAGAATATCAGCCATCTCACACCCACCGTGACAACGTCCGCATCCCATTCTGGCTTCAACGTCCTTTGAGCCAAACCACCGCACCGTTCACGCCCTCTTTGCCACCCTCTCCTACCCTCTTCTACCCTCGACGGTCCACCAGCCTCGTACAAGCTGTATACGACAAGCAAGTACGAGAGAAGGGGGGTTATATTCCGTTGTATCGTTCCTGCCTTTTCACGATGCGTCGCGTATATCCCGGCTAAACAGGCCATTTCATCACGTTTCGTTTCCTTGTGTTTCGTCATGTCCCCCGCTTTCTCTCGCTACCTCGCAAGTACTATTCACGTTCGTTTGTATCCTTGTATTCCTCTATCTTGCCGCGATATCTTTTTCCCCAGAAGCCTATATTTCCCGCGATCAACCAGCGTCATAAACGCGACACGCGTACCTTTATCATACCCGCTTTAGAAATCGTCTCGAAGACTCGACAGAAATGGAAGGGAAAAATTTTTATCGATACTGCTAGAGATCGGGCAAAATTTTGCTCGAATAATTAAAACGAAAATTTAATCCGTCTAAAACTTAGAAAAAAAAAACGTCGACTCTCCGCGTGACGAAGTGAAGATCGAAAAAAATTATTAAACGAGACGATCGGTGTTCCGATTGAAAAGAGATTCGAAATTCGATGGGGGGAGGGAGTGAGGGAGAGGAAAGTTTACATAGAAAATAGAGTCTCTCGAATGTTTTCAGCATCGCGGAACGATGTTTAGTCTGAAAGCGAAGAAAACGTTACGCATAGTTTTTATAACAATAAACGGTATTATGATTGAAAATACGCAGTGAGACAAAGTAAGTTCCCATGGTCAACCATGGATGGGGATAGTCCCCTGCCTTTCGTCACGCGAGATCCCGTTATCAAATTCGTTCTTCGATCATTTCAACGTAACATCAACGTATTCTCGTGTCACGAAAATATTGACCTACATCAGTTTAGAAACTCGTGAAAATCCTATCCCTCGCCCAAATATCAAATGACGTCCACGTCTCGGTCAAGTCTCGCATTCCCGTTGAACCGTTGAACGGATACGAAGAGGATTGCGAGGATGTTGTGAACGCCTGCCGTCTCATCGTTTTAATAACGCGACGCGGCTACTGAAGACGTTGTCGTACTCACTCGTACTTGCGTGGGATGATTCGCAGAAGAGGACGAAGATTAATCCACCCACGAGGAGCGTAGCCAGGAAGAAGGATCCCGAGCTGCAGCCCATCACGGCATCACTACTGATTTCTATCAGTACTCAGTAATCCTCACCGAAGCACTCGATCCACTGGTCCTTTTCCAGTTTAACTGTCGGGGTGTAACACTGTCACTTGTTCAAAACATCCGGCTGTCATCCGTGGCGAAAGAACCACTCGAGCGGCGACCACGTCGTACAATCCAGCATCAGTGCAACTATGCTGTCGCACCGTAATATCCCCAGTTTTACTCGCGTCACATGGTTTCGTCAACTTTTCACGCGCATCGTAACCCGCCAAACTCTCGTCCTCCTCTCGTTCACCTCGAAACCAGAGTCGGACGTTTAACCGATTCGTCACTTCGTCACTCGATCTTGCTTCATCGATGCCCCGTTAACGAATTCGATCTCGAACGCCCGTCACTCATCACGCGCGCCATCATCGTTTCGACCGGCTACTCTGCAATATCCGTTTTCAAGATTTTTTTTTTTTTTTACAAGATATCGCGACACCGATCGGTCCACGTTAACACGTCGCTGATCCAACAATTCATCACTCTCTTCTCTCTTTTTCCGCCTCTACCAACTCCACCACCCTCTACGAATTTCCTCGATTCACGAATTAAATACTCGACGTTTTGGCTCACTCGGGAAGGGGATACAAAGAAACGATTCGTTTGGGTTTCTTTGTAACGAGCTTCAAAGCGGTTGATGCAATTTCACTGAATGCATAGTACCCGGCCAATTATCGAAGTTTAGGGGCCCAGTTGAATCTCCTCGGGCGGAACGTCGACGGAGCGGACTTGTTAAACTTCCCCACTAAAGCGTCGTTGTAGGCGATGTAAGTTAAATCGAAGAACCGGCGCATCGATAGAACCGGTATTCGATCATCCGATGCCCGAAATTTATTCGCAAAAGATCACACGTCCGACGATTCGATACGTCGAGTGCGGTCGAACGAAGTTTCGAAGATCTTCGCACAAGTGAAGTTATATATCGGACGAACGTGTGGTATTAAACGTCCGTCTGTTAACAGTCAACCGTCCAAGGAATAGCTTCAATAACTCTCTCTGCCTTCTCTGTCGAAAAGTTCAACGCGAAAAAAAAAAATCTCCAACGCGCGTATCAGAAGAAATCGTATAATATCAAATCGTCATCTAGAAAATCTAATCTGGGCCAGGGGGACACTTTTGACACGTTTCGCTTCCCAGATCGACGATTTTACGCGCGATAGAGGCTGAAAAAAAAAGAGGTGTCGGTCGGAAACAGGAAAACAGAATGAACCGATTCTGTCGATTCACGCGCAAATCACGTATTTAGATCGCGCTACAAATCATCCGCGTGTTCCATGAAAATATATGGCCATTTAAATTCGATCGTAACCGTGGATCGTTAGTATTTTTTTTTTTTTCGATTCGAACGGAGGAACGTGTGTAGGTTTGAAAAGTCGGATGTTAATTAAAAATTTTTTCCCGTGTAATACGCGTTCTCGCGTTGATTCGGTTCGACGAGATTAAAAAATCAAGCGACAATGGCGAAACACCAACTGTCACCTGCGTTCCCCGTCTATTTATGCGCCAATTATGCTACGTATTTTACGTTCGCGAATATACGTTAATAAATCGACTTGGTTTATTTGTCGCTCGCATTGATCGAAACGGGATCTAATTAAAAAAAAAAAAAAGGAAGAGAATAAAGGGAAAAAGGAAGAGAGAAAGAAAGAAACACGCGTTCGGCCGTGTGTATGTATAGATTTGTATCGTCGAATCAAGGGAACAATGTACAACACAGAACGAATCAAGGAAAGTAGTTCGCGAAAGGAAGCCATATATCTTGATATCGGTATATTCCCACCTCTAATCACCGGTCTGCAAGCTGGCAACGCAAAATCCCTTGTGCATATGCATCGTGCATTCGCTTTGTTCCGATACGGTATACAACCCCCTCCCTCTCTACCACTCGAATTGTTCCATTTCCGTCGAAGAAACAGTCCATTAACTTGTGTTTAACAAGAAAAGAGGGAAAGAGAGAGAGAGAGAGAGAGAGAGAGAGAGAGAGAGAGAGAGAGAGAGAGAGAATGGAAAATCACTTGGAAAATAATTTCTTCGATGTCGATAACGTTCGCACAACGTTTGGGACGCGACTTTGATACACAAAACTTTTTCTCCCGATTGCTCCTTGAAAATCCTTAACGATAACAAACGAACAGCTAGAGAAATACGTAAATACGCACAGCATGAGTCATAATTCTTCGAAAAATCATGACTCGCGTTTGAAGATGGAAAAAGTAAACAAATGGTAGATAGATGTAAAATGGAGGAATACGGTAGTCGAGACACGTGGCCTTTTGGACGGTGTTGGATATTAAATAAACGCATCCATTCGGTGACAAAGGAAAACTACGATCATCTCCATTAAATGCCAGATGCCTGTCGCGAGTACGTGTGCTCGGAACAAAAGAGCAGGCCGCTAAAGGGCCCGGCTTTTGACGGCTTCGAGAGTTCAAATATCATCACGCCCACGCACACACGTGCCCGGCAAAGTCGATCGACGAGCTCTTTCGTTGTCACCGGCAAGAGCGGAATTCCTGAAAACCTGATGGAGAAAAAAAGAGAGATAGAGAAAGAAATAGAGGGAGAGACAGGGGGGGGGAGAGAGAGAGAGAGAGAGAGAGAGAGAGAGAAACAGCGAGGAAGAGAGAAAGCGAGAGAATGAGAAATATCACGAGAGAAAGAGAGAAAGAGGGTAATGCTTTGTTGTTCGAAAAAGAGCACCAAGCCAGCGGTTTCAGCTGCACGTTCACTCTTTTACAGCCATCCGCTCTTTCCAGGCACATTCGTGACCCTTTCTAAATCCTTTCGGAAACATGGTTGCACTCGATCCTTTTTCGCTATCCGAAACCGAACGAATTGTCTCTGGACGCTTCTCCGCTAGAATCGAAGTAAGTCGAAGGTCGTAGCGTACTTAGATCTTTCGAATCCCTTGGCTCGAGGATACCGCGATCCTTGGAAGGAGTCGAGAAGAAGGAGGAAAAGTTGGCCGATCTCCGCTCTTCCAATTGCTCGATCCCTCCGAAACCGTGGCCGTTGTTGATCGATCGGATTACTAGATCACGCGTACATCACGAGACGAGACACGAAACGTAACGCGACGTAGACGACAACTCGAGAGAGAGCAGATGGAAAAGCTCGACGCGGTACGCGATACGAACACGCTTCGAGTGTACTCTCGGCTCTGGCTCTGCTTTCGGGACTGAGTCGAGAGAGAGAGCATCGTTGGAGTTTCGAGGGATTCAGAGCTACCCCTACCCCCTTCCATCGCGCCGACCCCTGTCTCTCGGCAACCCGCGTGCTCCAGCACTCGTAGTTTTCCCCTCGGCTCCCGTCCCCACCCAAGCCACAAGGATGTCCCCCACTATCGAAAGCATCGCCACCCCAGCCGCTGGTCGGCTGCGCGCTCGCGCCTTTACGCGCGCAGTCCAATCCAGTCGAATTCAAGCACGCGCGTCACCACCAACTCCGCATCTCCACGGAACCACATGCGGCCGAGAAAATATAAACGGCGGACGATGCCGTTTCGCACGCGTCGCTCCTTCCCTTCCTTTTTGTCGATTTAAAAAAAAAAAAAGAAAAAAAATATGATCGGCCACGAATCACGAGTCACGAGTCACGGCTAATCAACCTCTGAACGAGCGATCGCGCGTTATTATTTATTCGAACCGTTTAAAATTGAGTTCATTTCTTTTCTCGGGAAACGGTTTAAGGGAGAGCGAAGTGAATGAATCGCCGTGTATGCGTTTTAATTGGCAGGATTGAGATTAAGGATGTGTAATTATATTAACAATGTGACGCAACATGATGTAACATTGTTACGATAAATACGGGGAAATGTTTAAACGGCCCGCCTGTGGATTCGAAGCGACGAGGCTTAAAAGCATTTGTCATAATAGTACGCGTGATTACTTCGAATTTTAGAGATTTTTGATTCAATAATCCTCGTAAGGAAAATAAATTTTTTGAAGAAATATATTTGGACGTTGATCATCTTATAAATCTATTTCTTGTTCGAAATAATTTTCAGGGAAGAAAAAAATGACAAGTTTCTATGCTGCGTTTATTTTATATATATATATGTATATGTTCCATCGTATGATGTTTAATAGGTAGTATCAAGAAGAATGATATGCATCGTTATTTCGAAAAACGAATAAGAGCTCCACATTATATCATTGAATGTTAATTAAATCTTTATAAAATCATCCGTTCCGTGTATAAATGAAAGATCGAATTTAAATTTTGACAATAAATGAAACGAGGATAAATCTGTTTTCTGTTAAAAAATTTCGAGATGAAAGGTTTTTTTGTTATACGATCGAGAAACGATGGGAATAAACCGAAGAACTCAACTCCAATCATGTCTAGGGAAAAAAAAGTCCGACATTGCCCCTAGGGAACTATTTCCTGTTTTACGTTATCCAACGGGGTGCTATAAACAAGCCTTTCCGAAGACTGAAACACGTGAAAGGGGACCGAATTCGAAGCCAAAAGAAATCCGATAAAAAATTTGCTTAAAGCGTATGTCTCATTCTTCGGTGATTCCAACATTAAAGATCCCGGTGAAAGGACGATACGTAAAGGTAGAAAACCGCAGACGAAGCTTCAAAGATACGGCAAGCATAACTCGAAGTGATTGTGTGCCTCCTCTCCGTGAATGATTCATAGAAATCGTGCGACCATTGATACGTGCTGCTCGTGAAGAAAATGAAACTTCCTGTTTCCCGTTCTCATAATCGTATTTTGATATTGGATAAATTCTTGGCCTTTATATAAATTCCATTCCATTGGAATTATTGAGGAATTAAAAAGGTCGGTTAACAAGAATCGAGGGACCAAACAAAATTGAGAAACCACGAACAAAAGAATACAAATTATGGAATTCACGTAAAAGAGTGATAAAATAAATAAGTGAATTTTTTAAAAATTAAAGAACATATGTAATCGAGAAAATACACTACATTTTCACGAATGAATAAAACGATATTGGTATTATTATAAGCGTTCTTCTTAAAAATATATGTTTATTTTTCTAAAATTATGTATCAGTTACCATTACGAAAACGTAAATGATCTGAAACTTTTGCATATACTAATAATATTACAGTAACGATATATTATTCTCAGAATTACATTGGCAAAGTTCGAGAGGAAAATCTGGCAAGCAAGTTTTCTAAAACAACTACATATTTTATAAAAGTTGTAAAACCTTCCTTTCCTTTCCTTCGACTTATTCAAACACGATCCCGAATTCGTCGATTTAATTTCACCGATTCAGCCACTACTACTACCTTAAAATAAAAGAGCACGAACGTTTACGAAAAAATTAAAAATTCCGATTCGATGGAACAACGAAGAATAAAACTTTCACGAGAGGCCTGAATATAACGGAAAC